CTCTGCACCAGGGGATGGGCTGGGAGATTGGCTGGTGCCTGGCTGGAGGGACTGCTCCCCTACCATGTGTAGGAGTGGAGCCAAGCCATGCAGTACCATACTGAGGGGTGGGAAGGGGGAATCCCCACTCTTCACCAGCGGCTGAGGGGACCCTGCCAGGAGTGGGGAACACCCACTGAAGTACAGGGATCCAGCCAGCCTGGGGCTGAATGGACTGTTCCCCCCTGGGGGCCAGCAGGGGTTGGGGGCATGTGCTAGGCAACAAATCAAGGATGAGTCTTGCTGGGCTGCATTCAGGTGCCCTTGGCAATGACTGGTAGGCATTATCTAGCACCCCCGGTTTCTGGTCTGGGTCACTGCAAGAGTCTGGCTGCCTTTCCAGTTTCAAAAGTGAATGTCAGTTGACTTCATTAATCAGTTCAATCTATGCAGTTTAGAGACACCTGCAAAGATTGAATCGATTCAGCCTTGAGATTTTTGCCTGTCTGTACTTAGCCCATTGGACTGGGCTCTCTCAGAATGTAGCAAGTACGGCAAGAGGCAAAGCATGACCCCTTCTGGATCTCCAAAACAGGGAGAGGTTCTCCCTTGAGAACCAGCTTTAGAGCTGCAGCCTATCAAAGGATCTAGTGGAGCCAAGGACATGAGTGATCTTACTTTAAGCTGATGCTGGAGGACATGTGGCAGAAAACTGTGTTTTTACATTCAGGATTAGATGTGGATCCTATGGATTTGCCCAGGAAAGCCTGGCCTCACTTTTTCTAGCTCTAGATGTACATGAACTGCATAGACTATCCCCTGAAACATGGGACTCTTAAAGGCAACACACAATTGGACAGTCCATTGGAGGTATGCATATCTTTAAGCCCATGATTTGGACGGTCAGGATATGAATGGTGATATGAAGTGTGATAAGGACTATAGAAACCAGGATAGTTTATTTTCTTGCTAAACAAAAAATACTTTATTTTCTCCTGAACAGATCTGAACTATAAGTGTTGGCTCCTACAGTGGGATCCTCAAATATAAACATGGGGCACTGGACAAGTGTTTATCTTCGGTATCACACACAGGCATGCACACACGCATGTATACACAGAACACTGACATTTATGAGTATGCTAAGAACAGTTCCAATTTTCTCTGACTTGATCCCCATAAGATGGGATGCAATTTATTGCCAGAAGTAGGAAAATTGTGTTTATAGATGTTTCCTATTTTAAAAATACACACACAACCATTCCCAGCACCCCAAACATTTTTAATCTATTCTGTATTCCATAAAGAAAGATCTAGATAAACCCCTTTCTGGTAACACTTCAAATAGTGATGAATCTGCTGAGCAATAACAAGACAGAAGACATGCAAAATACACTACTGTTTTATGGTTTCAGACTGCAGAATAGCAGCTCAGCCAGAACACCTGACTGTCATCACTATGAAACTTATTTGATAATTACAGCTTTAAAAAAAAGACAAAAGTTTTCTGCCCTCTTGCTGATAGGGGAAAGTTTGAAAATGTAATCCAAGTGCATACTGAGGCCCCAAAAAACAGAAATAAAAAGTGCACACAACTTTTTTCATAGGATCATGGTTTTCAAATCAGTGTAATATTTTTTTTTTAATATTTTCAGTTTGCAGTAGTAGGTTAAAAACAAGTAATGAAGTCAGTCTTTCTTACCGACTGCACAAGGTGACTGAGCTGAGGTTTCTAGATCATCATGTGTGAGGTCAGGCATAGCTTGGTTTAAGAGTAATACACAGGCAATGTATGGGGGGGCACATGCACCCCCAGATTTCAGTGTTGACAGCAAGGTGCAGGGCTGCAGCCGGGCCGGAGCCAGTGCCCAGCAGCAGCAGGGGTGATGGCGCAGAGCAGTGCTCCCCTACTGTGAACACTTAAACGTCATCTATGGAGTAACAGAAGATATATAAATAGCAGAGAGATTTTTTAGCCTGTCTGTATGTACACAATAATAGTGTACATGGTCTAATGCACAGCTGACTTAAACTTGCGGCACCGGTTTCTTTTCACTAGCGGAAACTGACCTACCGCAAGGCCTAGAATAGATCTTTGCTCAAGCAAATGGCATTTCTATCGTAGCTCATATACAGTTATCCATCTTGTGTTCTTGTTATGTCCTAACTATTTATTACATCTCTTGAATAGAAGACATAGTAATCACTTTAAGAAGTCAAGAATTTCAGATACTGTCTACCTGAAATTCTGTAGACACTGAGGATGGTGGGTGCTTCAATATATTTATGAATAGATCCACTGACTTAGCTGTGTCTACACACTCCTATATGTATTTGCAGAATTTGAGCCTTATATCTAGTATACTAGCATCCTCTGATGTTTGAATTCTCTATTTTAGATTTCACTGCCTTGGTCAGCCTCAATAACAGATTCTATTTCAGGCTAACAGCAAGTAACAACTGATTGGTTTGTGGAGAACAACACGCATCTTTTTTATTTGTTTACATGCAACATATGAGCTAGCTCAGGGGTAGGCAACCCCTGGCATGGGGCATGCAAAGGCATTTTGCTTGGCACGTGCATCTTGGGGAGGACAGTGGGGAAGGGGCTGGGGCTGCACTGCCACAACATGGATTAGGCCCCTTACAGTTCCCATGCCATCCCCTCCCCCCAGTATACCAGCATCTTATAAGCTGAGGTTGTAGGGTTTTTGGCACTCAACCCAAAAATGTTGCCGATCCCCAAGCTAACCCATTTTATTCTTTTTCCAAGCAATAAATACACAAAGTCTGGGAGGGCAGATATTGTTCAAGATAATTATTCTTGTATTTTTAAGATTCTCACCTTTGCAACTCCAGCACGATGAGCACCTTGCGATTCCATGTAGGCTAGGTACTTGTTGAACTCCCTGAATTCACCCATTGAAGGCCTAAACGTCATAATTTTGCAGCTTGGGTTTGGAGGACTGTCTGCGACTGCAGCAGCCATCGTGGTTCAATATCAGTCTTGCTAATAAATAAATAAATAAATAAATACAATTGTTAGTAATAATAAATGCCAAAAAATTAAAAAATAACATCTTTCATTAAAAATATCTTTCAAAATATGCCTGTGCCTAATAGGAATGAATTCTTTTCAAATGTTCTCTCATATACTGGCATAAAAGAGCACTGCAACTCAAATATTAGAAACATTTTCTTCCCACTCATTTAATTGAATTCTTCAGACTTCACCCAAGATAATGAAAACTGCCACAAGCAACAGCTGCATAGTCTACATCATATTTGTTTGTTTATATACAAACACAATTTCTAAACTTAGCCTTTAATATCATACTAGCATTTGTTTGAGCAGGTTCATCTCCAATTTACTGCAATTTCCTCTATCCAGGTATTTACAGTATGCAATTCCAGTCATCACAGTTATCTGTGCAACACTGCTGTCTTATAGGGAAGGATCAATGTTCACATTTTACACAGGGGAATTGCGGCACAGAAAAATTAAGTGATCTGTCCCATTTCACACCAGAAGTATTGTAATTTACCTGAATCCAAGATTACTTCTGATTTCAGATCCCCCGAGTAATTAGATTTGACACGTGGAAAACTTATACAATTTGTTATAATTTTCCATGTATAGAATCTAATCAAGGTAGGATCACCTTAAATTGGTCCCTCCTGCCACTGTAGTAGAGAAAGATGCAGCAGGGTGGCAGCAGTGGGAAAGGGGAAAGCAACAGGGGAGTCAACTGGCCTGACCCCTGCAATTGGCCCCTTGCCACCCGTCTCCCTTCCCCACAAAAAAAAGTGTCCCCACACACTTTTCCCCACCAGCCATTTGGCCCCCTGGTGCCTCTGCATCTCCTGACACCCTCCAGTGCCTGCACCCCACTGCCATTTGCTCCCCCCCACCTTGCTTTCCCTCAGTGATAGCCCTGGCTCTGGCCCTGACTGGCAGTTGCGGCAGTTGCGGCAGCAGTAGCAGCTCCAGTCCCAGGTCAGAGGCAGAGCTGCTGCCTGGCTGGAAGGGACCAAAGCCACTCCATGTCCCAGGCTGAGCCAGTGTTGAAGCTGGAGCCACAAACGAGGGTAAGCAGCAATCAGGGGAAAGCAGCAGCTGCAGCTAAGACTCCAACTGTGAGACCACATTGGGGCTGAACTCAGAGCTGCAGCACCCACCTGTCCCCTACCTCCCCCTATGTTAAAAGGAGGGGTGAACTTCTGCCTTGGATTCAAGTAAACGCAGTACGCAACAAGGTCAAGAACCCAGATTTCCTGACACCCATTCCATTATTTTAACTAAAGGATTTTTTTTTCCCCTCATACTTCTCTCATTTTTTTAAACAGGTCTGAACATATATGATAAGTGTAGAGGAAAAAAGTCAAGCCCTTGCCCTATACCAAATATTATGTTGCTATCATTAGATTTGATGGAAAACAACACCAGTTATTCTTGTCTCAGAGATTCAATAGTCATGAAACAAAATGAACACTTGCATGATTTTTAGGTTATTTCTGCTGCTGAAATATACAATGAAAATGCTGCAAGCCAGTGTTAGAGTACTACAGAACTAGCACAGAGCCTAAATGGGTCTCACATTTATAAAGCCATAGGTTCTACATTTGTAACTACTGTATACTGCATACCCCACAGCAGAACTTACTAATTCAGCCTTTAATTCACTTAGTAAATTTGCTTCACACCACCTTATAGATATCAGACAGGAAAAAAAATTGCAAGTAATACCAAGTCAACATATGGCACTGCTTCACTTTTGCACTTTCTCGGTTTTGATTTTGCAGTTACATAGTATTTTAACAAAGTGTTGTTCATCAATTATTGTCTCAGAAAAAAAAAATGCAAAAACATCATCAACAAATACCAGACACACAATATTAATACTAGGTCAAAATGAAACAATGTTTGCTCAGTCATGGAAGAGAAAATTAAACCTTATTCATGTATTAAAACACCATTGTTCAATGTATTTGTATTTCAGAACATGCAATACTAAATGTGTGAGTGTACTATTATATCATGATCTTAGAGGGGGAAAAATAAAACATTAAAAAGTGATTATCATTAACAAATTAATCTAACATTGTGGGCAGCAGCTATGGGGCGACTGTTAGATAATTTCACATGCAGATGCCCCACTGTGCATTAAGGCAGAGCAATAAACTCCAGCACACATCACACCAGAGTCAGCTGCTCCCAGGTGCAGCATTTACACATGCACCTTGGACTGCAGTGCTTTGAGCCAGGGCACAGCAGCCCTGAGCTGGCAGGGGGCACTGGGGGCCAGCCCCATGCTCCAAGAGGCAGCAGGTGCATCAGACAAGTGTGGCAAACATGGAGGCTCTACTCTTGAACAATGAAAATCCCTATGCAGTTTTCTCATAGAAAATATCCAGTAAATAGAGTTGCCCTGTGTTGTGAATGTGAAAAAACTGTATCTGAAAGTGACATTGGAAGCTCTAAAAATCTACCATTGCTAGGAAAGGATATGCCCAAAAAGTCATGACAATGGGAATGCAAGTAAGAGTGTTATATACAGATTATAAATATCTCTGACAACATACTTCCTAAATTCTGGGGGAAGGCAGAGGAAGCCTTTTCACTCCTGTCCAATGTTCCCTCTAAGTAGCAGTACATGAGTGCGCCACCTCGGTTTGGCGTGGGACACTTACCAAAGAGAGCTGAGGGCTGGGGACCAGAGGCTGGGAGCCGGGGCCAAGAGGCCAGAGGCCAGAGCTGGGGCCGGAGGCTAGAGCCAGGGGCTGGCACGGGCTCCACAGAAGTGCTCCACTCCCCCACATCAGGGCTGGAAAGTGGAGCACTTCCCCAGAGCCCATTCCAGCCCTCAGCCCCAGCCTTCGTCCCTGCCTTGCCTCACCTTGGGGAGGAGCTGCTGCTTGCCCCAGTGAGGCTCCGCTGGCTCCAGGACACTGCTCCACTCCCCAGCCCTGACGCCACATGCCTCCTCACTCCCTGAGGCCATGTGGGGGAGCAGAGCAGTGTCTCGGAGCCGGCAGAGCCTCACTCAGGGCAGGCAGTGGCTCCTCCCAGAGGTGAGGCAAGGCAGGGACGGAGGTTGGGGCTGGGGGCTGGTGCAGGCTCCGCCGGCTCCGAGGAGGTGCTCCACTCCTCGGCCCTGATGCGGGGGAGCAGAGCACTTCCCTGGAGCTGGCAGAGCCCACGCCAGGCTCTCACCCCCACCTCGCCTAGGAGCTGACCTTCAACTCCTCTCCTGGTGCACGGCCTTGAAAAGGCTGTGCACAGCCACACTTTTAGTTGTGTGCAGCCATGCACGCGTGCACCTTGGAGGGAACCTTGTTCCCGTCTTCAGTATCCCATTTGGAAACAAACAACAACCAAATTACAGAAGGAGAGAGAGACAAAATAAATGAAGCTGTGTGGAAGTCAGGCTCAACTTTGGCTAGGGAGTCCCTAGCACAGACCACCATAGGACTGAGCAGTTGCTTGAATAGATCACCACAGAACTGAGCCAGTTTATATCTAGTCACAGTCGATAGGAATTGCTCATGGCCCTTTGTCCCTTCTTAGGAGGCAAAACATAAAAAGTACTACATAACATTAGCCGTATTTACTACAGAGCCACAATCACTATGCTGAGAGTGAAACTGTAAAACAAAACTCACATTTCAATAACTGGCACCTGACCAATATTTATCAAGGGTTAGAAGACTTTAAAAACAGCTTTTATCAGGTAAGTTGAAGACAAGGTCTCTTTAACCTATGTTTAAGAACATTCTAACGCTACTTCTAATTTTCACATGGTACAAACTCTAGTGAGGAGCTAGTTATTCATCTTTGTGGCTGGCTAGCTCATGCATTTAACGTTTTAATCTTTACTAAGTGGTTTGAGTGCATCTCCCCCTCACTTTCAGAAACTGCTTCAAAGTTCACTCTCTGAAAAGAAAGGAGACCAATATTCAAGCCTCAGCTAGTAAGTTGAAGTCAATTAAATCAAAAAAGGTGCAACAGACAAGAATATTTAATTCTTTCTAAAACAAAATCACTTCAAGGAGGAAATTGAAGCTAGAATCAAACACTTCAGGTTGTAGCCTATTACGAGCAAATAGTCTAGCACCTGCAGTTGTATACTACTGCTAAAATGAAAAACTTCTCAAAACCTGATATGAGCATATAGCATGCAGATTGGTGATTTTACAGTTTGTATCCTTCCAGTCTACAAATTACCCCCAGGGTTAGCAACACATCTACTGACAAACTTTCATATCAAATTTATTTTAAACTTTGTCCTCATTCTTCAATATTCAGCGTGACTTGGTGAGTGTAACCAAGGAAACTGATTTTTTCTCTCTTTATTCTGATACTATTCTTTCCCAGGTGGATTCATGGTAATAAGCAGGGATCCAGGTCTTCTATTTCCCACGGAAACACAGGGGGAAAAAAAGCACATTTTCCCTTTTAACCAAGAAAAATGTCGATTTTTCATTTCAACAGAGAAATACACAGGTTTTCCACTTTTGCAAAGAGCTTTCGGCAGACTGGGAAAGTTCCAGCCTGCAGAGGTTGAGCGGAGCAGGAAGAGGGTGGGGTCAGGCAGGGGGCACCATGTGCATGTGCATGCTTACATATGCACACGGCTGCCAGGCAGCCTAGAGCGGAGGGGGATTTAAGGCCCCCACAGGGAGGGAGAAAGGGAGCTGGGCAGTGCTGGGGCTGCAGCTACTGCTGATGCCCAACCTGGGTGGTTTCGGGGTTTGGGGCCCGGGTCGGGAAGGCACAACCAGAGGACCCTTGTGGGGAGCCGGATGGAGCCATGGGCTGCTCATCCAGGGGGTAGGGCTGGCTCCCTGCCACTGTGTACACTCCCAGGGATGCATGGGGGTGCCCCCCCCCAGATCTGTGCAAGGGGCAAGCTGCCCACTGTGGGCTCAGAGCTTCCCACCCTGCTGACTTCCTCCTGGGGTTTTCATGGCTCAGTGGGCAAGACCTGGCACAGCTGGGCACAATGGGGCAGGGTGGGGAAGTACCTTGCCTCTGCGAGCCCTGAGCCACCCTGGTGAAGCGCCCCCACCCATCCAGCAGCAGGGGTGGTGGCAAGGAATTGTCCACCTCGCTGCTGCAGGCAGGGGGCACATAGCCAGGGTGGCACAAAGCTCCTAACAGAAGCAAGAAGCTTCCCCACCTGGCCCTGCTCCACCCTGCCATTCCGGGTCTCACCCACTGGGCCATGGAGGCCCCAGAGGGAGGTCAACAGGGTGGTGAGCCTGAGCCTGTAGATGCCTCCCTCCCTCCCCACCCCCTGGCAGGGGCTCCACTCTGGCCATGCTGCCTGATGGGGGGAGAGCCAAGCTCTGCTCAACTGCAGCAGCAGCCACCTCCCACAGATGCACTGCTGTTGGGGGTAGGGGGCTGCAGATCCAGCTCTGTGGCCCCATAGCCCTGGCAGCTGGGGATCCCCTCTGGCAGGGCTGGTGAGCAGAGGGAGTTGTGGTTTGATAGTGAGGGACCTGGACCTGCATCCCAATGAGCGAAGGGGGCAAGGGAAGCTCTGATATTCCATGATAAAAAAAAACAAAATCAAATACTAAAATGTACAGGCACTTAGAATTTATTTTACTATTACCAAATTGCCTATCAAGAATGACCCGGGGGGGGGAGGGGGGCCAGAGTCCAGTGCTCCGTCTGCAGCTGCTCCCCCCTTCCCTCCTGCTGCTTGGGGTCCTGGCCTACTCCTCCCCTCCCCACTGCAGCAGTGAGGGAAGAGAGGAGCCAATCCACCGTGGCGGGGGGGAAGCAGGGGGCCCGGGCCAACCCAGCAGAGGCTGGGGGATGGGAGGAGCAGCCTCAGAGCCAATGCACCGTGGGGAGGGGAGGAATGGTCCCAGGTCCAAGGGGGGCAAGCTTCTCCCCCACCCTGGGCACACTCCTTCTACCCCCACCACATTGGTCCTGGGCCCACTCCTCCCCTCCCCGCACCACCACTGTGTCAACCCAGGTCCACCCTTCCCTCCCCACCACCACGGCACACCCACTCTTCCCCCACCCCCGCGTTGGGCCCACTCCTCCCGCCACCACATTGGCTCTGCAGGCAGCAATGATGGAAGGGGGGAGAGGCAGGCCG